ATGATTGTGTTTCACTTTGGCATCTCCCACGATACCTGGTACAGAAAGAGTAAAATATCTTACCTGATGGTGTCAGCAGATGGCAAGCCACTCGGTGGAAAAAAAAGGAGGGGGGGGGGGTATATACCAGAATTCGGCTATCCTCCTAATAACGGTCCCAAATTATCGAGGCCGAAAATATACCCTAACAGGGCCTAAGTCACATGTAAACTGCGGACCTATTTGCGGCGACTACACAGCATACTGCGGAAAAGCTTCCGCCGAGTTAAAGTCACTGCCGAGAGTATCCCAGGCGGCGCGGACTAAGGTTAAACTATATGGTTGGGACTTACGAGCAGCAACTACCGCATCTCATGCAGCTTCCTGTATTTTATTTGCTCGTGTCCCAGCCATCTCGAAGCGGTAAAGTCGCCGGAAAGAGGTCCGCAATTTACATGTAACTGAGAGACTATTAGGCTTCGATAATTTGGGACCGTTATTCAGCGGATAGCCCAGATTTCTTCTTCTGTGTTTACACCAATTGGCACAGTGTGTTATGATTTATAGCTAGGTTTTGATCTTTGCGTCGTTCAGTCTAACATATCTGATTTCAGCAAATGCTTCATTTGACTACATAGGCCTACTTGTTACAGAGCATTGGGTCTGTTCTCTTCTCTCCCCTACATGGGGCCCCGCAAACCACACGAGGAAACATGAAAGGATGGAACTTTGTGTAATGAAACTGATCAGCTCATCTAAACACTTTTTTTAAGAGGAGACATATAAGGAATAGGTTAGTTGCATATCCTTTACAGGACGTTACAGAACCAACCCCAACAGCCCCTGGCTGTTGTGTGGTTTTTCTAGGCAAATTTACGTCCAGTAGTTTGTCATTGCTTTCTGGACGGTCGACTTTCTTGATACCACTGTCGAAACCAAAGCAAGGTGTATGGCCTGCAGCTGGGATCGAACCCAGCATCCTGGCATTACGAAGCGTTTGCATCGACTTAGCCACAGAGCCGACATATAGGAGTAGACAGTTTCTAAAATCTTACTACACACTTTTGAAAGCAAAGTAGACACTTGCTGGTCGAAGAGTTTTGGGTTCCAGTCTGATTTAGGATAGATATTTTGTTTTAAACAGTTGATTTAGCCTCCCAGGTCTACCATCATATACCGGATGTCACCCCCTCACAAAAATAATCCTTTCAGATACCTCATATTTAACTTGTAATTCCTTGTCTTCTTTCACATTTGCTTCTTCTGTTCATTGTTTTAGTTTCAGCTTGGCGGGCTGCCTGGTCTCGAGGCATAGTGTCTGCCTCGAGTGCTAGAAGTTCCCGGATCCCCGGTAAGGGCTGGGATTTTTTCAAGTGGACCGGGACTTCTATTCCCCCTGGTCTCTGGGTAGTGAGTACCTGTATGTATTGTTGCGCACGAAAAAAAAAAAAAAATAATCCCTAGGCAGTTGGAAATCGAAAAAAGCCGAACGGTGCTGCCGGGCAACAATTTGGAGTTAAAAATCTACCCAAAGTATTTTAGGATCCGCGCCGGTGCTACAGAACCTGTAAACTGTGCTGAGCTTCTTCGGACTTGAGTTAGAAGATAGAACGGAGCACTTATGGGTTACTTTTACTACCCATGTGCCATGATGTTGATCCGTTAAAACCTCAGTTTCAGCTCTTATTGAACCCGGTTTTTTGTTGTTGTTTCTGGAAGTACCCAATAGTATGCTGTTCTGACATCTTCTTTTAAGGCATCTTTTTCTGCTAATATAAGAGGAACTTTGTGGTGAGTACCGACACCTTTTTTAGATTTCTTTTGGGTAGGTCCTGCATTTTTTTAAAGTTAAAAATAACTCTGCATGTAAAAAAAAAAAAAAAATTAAATTTGATTTATTAACCATTTTATAATTGCTGGTGTTTTTATTTCCTTTTAACTATATAACTTAAGAAACTGTTTCTCATATGTTTTATTTATCTTTAATTATTTGCTAATTTCCCATCTGCTATGAAATTGCTTGCTTTTTATGCATTTATTTTTCTATTGTTCTTTTCAGCTGACACTATGTGGGCGATGTATTCACTACCACGCTGCCACCTTTACTTCCCAGGACTTTACTTGGTACCCATTTGAAGTTGCGTCGACCTGGAAGCCAAGGTCACTTTTGAAGGAAACAAAAAAGTCTAGCCGTGTCAGGACCTGAAGCCATAACCTTCGGATCTGCAGGCAATCGTCCATCCACAACACCATGGAGGCTCTCATCAACAAAGCTGTTTAATATATTAAAATAATACCTGGATAAACAGCAACAAAGATAACAACCATAACAGTTTTCATTCCATCCCCCCCACCCCACAAAAAAAATTCAGCGAAAAAACAGTACAGACATAAAGAATGAAAACAAACCAAAATAAGTGGCTGTAACAAAAACAGATGTTGAGTAGTTACTAGAGAATTTTATTTAAATGTGATGATGCATAACGGCAGCGAAAGCTTTTCATTTTTTATTTTGGGTGACAATGTTTTTAGATTTGCCAATATATGAAAAAAATATTCTGAAAACAGGAATTCTTAATTTCATAAATCTTAAAAACTTAAATTGCTTTGTTAAAATTTGAACACATTTTATCATCCTAGCATTGCTAAAATCTCCTGTTTAAAAAAAAACCACAAAAAACATTCAAACTTTTAATAAGTTAACAATCCCAAAATAATTTTGAGATGGTTAAAGCTTACTTTTAAAATGGAAGTGTTATGAAATTGTTTTGTTAAAGATATTTGGTTCTATTTTTCAACACAACTCTCTGCTGCAAACTGAGTGGCTTTGTCAGTTTTAGATCTCAAGTTATGACTATAGAAATGTTATCAGATCAAAGCAGATGAGAGTTTCACAAATCTTTGCAAGGCTTCTAAATGTTTTCATCACAGGAAGGAACAAAACAAGCACTATAAGAGTTAATGAACTTCACAGGAAATACAAATGTGTGACAAGTCCCATCACCGGTAATGAGGGCAGTCACTTAAACAGTTAAATATATCTTATACTTTCCTAATGCAAAATAACAGGGAAAAAAAAGATATATATGTTAATATATATTAAAACATAACAAAATTTTACAATTTCTCATTTAGCAAGTACCTAAAAATATATATTTCTCACTGACTGAAACAGGTGATCGCTGTCCAGATGTGTTTCTATGAGATTCCTCAAATCAGAATTAAGAGATTTTTGTGTATTTTGCTTGTAACTATCCCTGTTTGTTTATGTTATATGCTGATGAAGGTATTAAAACCGCAATGCTCCTTTGTCGTTTTTGATAATGTGCAGCTGACAGGTTATACCTCTCATGTAGTTTCATATCTGTTAATGGAATAGATGACATGTACAGAAGACTTCTCTGGGTGCTAAAATAAGCTGATGTTGGAATCAAATGAGCAGTAAATTTATCCTGGTATTCAATTGTAAGTTGACTGATGTTGGAAAAAATAAAAAAGCTGCTAGTTTCAGTTTTTTCTCACCCTATTTGCACTAAATAAACTATTCTGGAATTAAATAAGCAGTACATTTCTGATTACGCTCAGCTGCAGTAAATAAACTATTCAATATTAGAATCAATGATGGGATCAGATGGGCAGTAAATTTATGTTTCTGTTCAAATATATACAATAAACTGATTAATGTTAGAAATTATAAAAATCGGTTAATTTGTGGTTAAATTTGACAAAACTTTACTATCTTATGTTGGAAACAAATAAGCAGTCCTAAATAAACTGATTGATGTCAGTATTAAACAAAACCTTATTTCTGTTTAATTGTACTAAAGACTATCTGATACTGGAATCAAATTAGCAGTACTACAACTCAAGAGGTTTTATTTTAAACTACACTAAACAAACTATCTGCTGTTGGAATCAAACTAGGAATACCTATTTGTTTAGTTTGTATTATATATTTCTTCAAAAAACATATTGCCAAATTTGTAATTAATTTAATAACTTGTTATATATTTAAAACAACATATTTTTTGCCATTATGGCATTTTGCAAAGTGTATACATTATACATGATCATACTGATTTATTACTGAAAAACATTTCAGACTGAAGAATACAATTCACTAACACTTCTTAAATCTTATTATTATTATTTCAAAATCCACATGCATTGATTATATTTTGGAACAATGATAACTCGATACATTTTTAAATGTTGCTTGTAGATCAAATATTTCTTTACTTGCAATTCTACATCTTAATTCTGGTGCATTACTTTAATCAAAGGTTAATAATATTAATGATAAAAAAAGCAGACATTTTTATATTGTGGTATTTCAGGATCTTTTAGTCACATGCACTTTAAAAAGCATAAGCCTATATCTTCTCACCGAACATTTTAAAGAGAGGGAAAAACATTCACACGCAACGCGCATATTCTTTGTAAATTGAGAGGCATCTAAAGTATGTATGGACGGATTCATTGTAACATATAAGTGACTACATCACTGATTTAAAAAAAACAACATACTTTCTATTAAAAAGGAAACACCAAAAAACTTGGCATGGGTCAAAGATGAGCAAAAGTATAATACTGGAAACACTAAGAAATGGCAGGTAAAACAAAGAAGGAAAAAATACAGTAAAACAACAGAAACAGGAATAATTCGTTAACAATTTAAAACAAATGTATTTGAAAATTCTAGAAATGTAGGTGAACAACAAAAAGTGAATGCAATTTAAGCGTAAAAAATAGACTGAAATCTGTACACATAAAGATGTTAATTGATAGATAAAAATGGCACTGAATCTTTAAAAAATAAAGTGATACAAATAGTTGCTAAACATGATAACAAAACTGCAACATTTTGCTTGCATGCCATGAGTAGTGATAAATGTGAAGCATTCACATCGGCAGGACAGAGAAAGTGTCATCTGACATTATGTGAACACTAAAGTCAACCATGATGCCATTAAAAGAAAGCCCGACAGGTAGGCTGCAGAAGTGAGGGTTTGACCCCTGGCCTATTGGAAGCACACAGGCCCTGCTTCAAACCCAAATTTCTGATTAGGATTTCCATAATCCACAGGCTGGAAGCCCACGATGGGAAGACGCTCCAGTTTTTTTGATGAAATCTCAAACGTTGTGAAACCATTTTCTCCTCGGTCCTGGGAAGAGGCAAGAGATCAGTGAACACATATTAGAGTCAATTTGATAAATACTATAAACTTATAAGCAAAGTGAAAAGTAAAAAACCCTTTATCACACCTTCACGTGTACTGGGTATATAGGGCTAGACCTATATTTTATAGACCAATAACACTCAGTGGGTGATGTGGTCAACATCACGCCGGCTCTCTCTCTCTCTCTCTCTCCTCTCTCTCTGTGTCTCTCTCTCTCTCTCTCTCTCTCTCTCTCTCTCTCTCTCTCTCTCTCTCTCTCTCTCTCTCTCTCTCTCTCTCTCTCTCTCTCTCTCTCTCTCTCTCTCTCTCTCTCTCTCTCTCTCTCTCTCTCTCCCTTTACATGCTTGACACCGATATTGAAGTTTGATTTAAAAAAAAAATTTAAACAAAGTCCCATCATATTCTGCTTACTATTCTTTGATACCACTATCACAGATCAATGACTTACTATTCTTTGATACTACTATCACAGATCAATGACTTACTATTCTTTGATACCACTATCACAGATCAATGACTTACTATTCTTTGATACTACTATCACAGATCAATGACTTACTATTCTTTGATACTACTATCACAGATCAATGACTTACTATTCTTTGATACCACTATCACAGATCAATGACTTACTATTCTTTGATACCACTATCACAGATCAATGACTTACTATTCTTTGATACCACTATCACAGATCAATGACTTACTATTCTTTGATACCACTATCACAGATCAATGACTTACTATTCTTTGATACCACTATCACAGATCAATGACTTACTATTCTTTTATACCACTATCACAGATCAATGACTTACTATTCTTTGATACCACTATCACAGATCAATGACTTACTATTCTTTGATACCACTATCACAGACCAATGACTTACTATTCTTTGATACCACTATCACAGATCAATGACTTACTATTCTTTGATACCACTATCACAGATCAATGACTTCACATTTCTTTCACTTCATGCTCTGATGTGCTCACAGCCTGATGTGTTCACACCAATATTGAAGTTTGATTTAAAAAAAATTTAAACAAAGTCCCATCATATTCTGCTTACTATTCTTTGATACCACTATCACAGATCAATGACTACCTATTCTTTGATACCACTATCACAGACCAATGACTACCTATTCTTTGATACCACTATCACAGACCAATGACTTACTATTCTTTGATACCACTATCACAGATCAATGACTTCACATTTCTTTCACTTCATGCTCTGATGTGCTCACAGCCTGATGTGTTCACACCAATATTGAAGTTTGATTGAAAAAAAAAATTTAAACAAAGTCCCATCATATTCTGCTTTCTATTCTTTGATACCACTATCACAGATCAATGACTAACTATTCTTTGATACCACTATCACAGACCAATGACTTACTATTCTTTGATACCACTATCACAGATCAATGACTTACTATTCTTTGATACCACTATCACAGATCAATGACTTCACATTTCTTTCACTTCATGCTCTGATGTGCTCACAGCCTGAGTGTTCGCACACTTAAAGAAGAGAGGACTTTTTTCCAGGCCTTTAGGCATAGAAGGGTGTGTAGTGTAAGGCCTGATTTTAGAGCCCAATTGGCAGTCAGTTAGTAATTTGGTCAACATCACACCAGCCGCCACTTCCCACGACTTTACCTGGTACCCATTTAAGGTTGGGTTGATCCCTCCCCCCCCCCCCCACGCCCCTTTTAAAAAAGAGGACAGAAAGAAAAATCCCAAACACTGTTAATAAGAAGGAGTCGCCCTGGCGTTGGCAGCTAGATGCTTGCCTGTGGATTGGAAGTCATGGATTCGCATCCTGATAAAGCTGGACTTTTTTTTCAAAAATGACCTTGACTCCCAGGTCAACCCAGCCTTGAATGGGTACCAGGTGCAGGTCTAGGAAGTAAAGGCAGCCGGCGTGATGCTGACCACAACACCCACCAAGTGCCAGTTGGCCTAACAAAATATAGGTTGAGCCCTACACTCCCAGTAGACCTAAAGGTGTGGAAAACGGACCTTCACTTTACTTTACTGTTAACAAGAACTTGAAGAAAAATATAAATCAAAGTGTAAAGTACCATAAAAGAAGAAATCACAACTGGTAATTTAGTGTCCTTTACTTTACTGTTAACAAGAACTTGAAGAAAAATATAAATCAAAGTGTAAAGTACCACAAAGGAAGAAATCACAACTGGTAATTTAGTGTCCAAATATTAATATGATATATCAATAATATTGGTATCAATAATAATGGCAGACACTTGTTTTGTCTTGATAATATCCGCTTTTTTTTGGTCTTCTTCTTCGTCTTCTTCAACTTCACGGGCTGTAAGCTCTGGCGGACAGTTCTAGGTGTTTACCCACCTCCACCAGACTTAAGTCTTTTTCCAGCGCCTGAGTGTTGCGTGCACATTTGTTTCACACTTCTGGCTTATTTGTATGCAGACTGTTGGTTACTTGACTCTCAGGCAGATGTACTCTTCAGTTCAAAGAATGCCCCCCCCCCCCCCCCCAACAGCAGACTCCTATGACATGCTTGTTGTTGAAGCAGTGGGTCTGTTCTTGTTGTCCCCACAATGGGGCCCCACACAGGGATATTGTTTGGTCTGATGTTGGACAAGAGGCAAAATGAAGGCACTCTCCACATTAAATATTAGCGCTGTTTTGTTTCTTAAACTGTTAATATTATAATAATATTTAAATAAAAAAAGCTGGTATAATGCCAAAATTGCCTGATGCCTCTTTGACCCCCTCTCTCCCCGTTAAAAACCTCTGCTATCAACAGACTTAATCTGAACAGTTGAGAAACCAGCACTCACCTTACAGTCATCATGAATGATCTGCTTTGCATCAAACTTTGCGGTATTAAATTCATAATCGTTATCGCCAAGCAGATGCACAGCCTTGTCATGATTATTTCCCTTGGAGTCATACCAGGCTACAGAATTTGTGCAGTAGTAGGTGAATCTCTGAACACCCCGCTCAGACAGAAGCCTCAACATGTTCATCTGGATGCTGGATATATAACGTATCTGAGGAATTCAAATATATTTATTTGGATGCTGGATACAAAATAAATTTGGGGACTTTAACAACAGAATTAGTTTCCTCATTTATAAAGCAGACAAGTCTAACAGCAACAATATTTTATCAGAAGTCAATTCAATTATGGTTAAGTTCACTTTCCGTCCTTTTTAGGATGAAACTTTTCATTATTTGAAGCCATACTCTGGCTTTGCCAGGGGCCGCGATATAGCTTGGCCATAAATATTGCCTAGAGGCTGAACGCGGTTTCTGGGACCTCTCCAGGGTTAACCTAACCCGCATGGTGTCACATTGTGTCATCGGGTGTTTATTGCTTGTGTGATGTCCTGGTGGGGTAGAAAGTCAGTCAGTCAGTCAGAAGTCAAAACCCTCATTAAGTCAAAATTAGAAACTGATTGAAATCAAACACAGGATATAGCAATGAAAAGTATTTCCTCAATCACCTAAACAGAACAGACCAAGTCAAAATTTGTCACTTATGCCCTGGACACTGCAAATTCAACAAGCACTCACATAAATTAGGTATGAGCCAAACAGCTGTCAGTCTGTGTTTTTGTGCTGAACAGGTTCCAGAATATGTCATGCAAGATTGTCTTTTCCTGGAGGAGCAGTGAAGCAACATGTGGTTAAGCCCGTTAGACCTGACAACTAAACTTTGGGGGAATCTGAAAGACCTTGAGATGACATCCCAGGCTATAGCCCACGGTTGACTAATCACACGACCAGAGATGGCTGTAGAATGGCAGCAGATATTGACAGATGTTTCAATGCAGACACAGATGAGACTAAGAGAATAGTCCAAAACAGACTGCCGAATTGTCATGAAAGAACTTGGGATGGAACAAGTAATAAACTACACCAAGATCAAATGGTTTGGAAATATGTTAAGACTACCACCAGGTAGTGCACCACAGACAGCCCTGTCACTTAGAAATAATGGAAGCAGAACTAGAGATCAACCACACAAGCGATGGATAGATGGAATATCTATGGCCATAAATACCAGCATCTACATACCACATGCCACGGCTGGCATATGATGCTTCTTCAAAATCTGATTCTGAAAGGCAGAACAGAACCAGAGAAGAAGAAGACTGTTGAATAGAATCCAGTAGTTTGAGAACCATCCCAAGGTTTTAATTACTCAGTAATTTTGATGGTAATTATTCTTCTATTTAGTGCTCACCGGTTAAAAAACTCTGGTGGAAAGCTCTAGTTTTTCTTCACTTCCGGACTTTGATCTTGTTCCAGAATGATGTAGTTTTCTATGCACATCTGTTTTATAGATCTGGCTTATTTATATGCAGACTGTTGGTTCTCCGCCTCTCAGGCAGATGTATTTTTTCTTCAAATGAACCACCCCTAGTTAGACCCCTCTTATCACATGGTAACTAGGGGGCCACATATCTATTCTTTGTTCTCCAAAAATGGAGCTTTAGAGCCCGTACAGGAATAGCTTCTTCTTCTTCTTCTTTATGTCCTCTTTTACTGTTTCAGATGTCAAGGGAGATATAAGGTTATGCTTTGTGCTTTTCTGGCTGCTTCGACCAGACACATTGTGGTACTGTGGAGTTTCTCTGATGTTATCCTTCCATCTTGTTTTTGGTCTACCTCTTGCTCTACGTCCCTCTCCAGGAATAGCTGATGGTAATAAAGATGGTAGTGATGATTATGATTTTGTTGATGATGATAAAAAGCAATACTGTTCTTTTACCGATTCAATCTCTATCACAATTATTAATAATGATTTGGTGTGAATTCGTTGAGGGCCTATGCTCCATTGGTAAATAGAAGGCAGACAAAGGGCCACTTGAATGATCAGCACTGTGACTCTACTGCAGGAGACTGAGCATCTATGGCTTTGCCTGGATGTCAGTTCTTCAAACAATCAATCAAACAATTAATACATTTCTCAATATTTGGTTTTGTTTTTCTCCAACTATAGAATTAAATCTTCTTTAACAAATGAAAAAACTTAAATTAATTTTGATGATAACACTATCACTTACTTGAAATCCTCCTTGCAACTCATTGAAAAACTTCTGCTTTTGGGGTTTGTCGTATGCCCGTTCATCAGCCTGAAACATACAGTTACAAGTTTGTTGTATGTTGAAACATACAGTTATAAGTTAGTTATGTGCCCTTTACAGGAAGTTGCAGTACGAAGCCCAGCATTTGTGGATGACTGTGACTTCACTAGGCAATTTTACGTTCAGTAGTTTGCTATTTCCTACTTAACAGTCAGCTCTCAATACCGCTGTTGAAAGCAAAGCTAGGCAGTCTGCTGCCAGAATGCCTACAGCTGGGATCAAACCTGGCAACTTGGAATTATGAAGCAAAAGATGGCTACACCTGAAGCACGGGCAGGTCTTGCTTGTCATACTCGCCATTGCCATGGGCTGTGAGTCCCATGCCTCCTCATAGCGCAATATAACACCATCGTCTGAAAAGACGGAAAGGTGCCAATCATCAGGTTCAGTGTCAAGAGACAAAAGAAGTGCTTTGGGATTCTTAGCAAAAGCTATTGCTTGATGTTTTGGTGCAGGAGAGCCTGGCGTATGATACCACAACATCCAGCTTAAGAATGGAGGTGGAGGTGGTCGCTGCAGCTAGAGAACATCATACACACATTAACTATGGTTGTAACTGACTCAGAAAGCATGGTGAGGACAGGCAGGTTTCGTGCAAAGTGGCATGCTTCGCTTCAGAGGTAATGGGTGAGGAGCATTGTCTGGATCTTTTCTCCGGGTATGCTGGTGTGATGGAAAATAAAAAGATGGATAGATTAGTTGGCTTTGCACAACCTGGTGGAATACTGATGCAGGATAAGGGAGACATGGTCAAGGCCTTATGGGAGCACATGTACAATATGGAGGAGTAAATGGATCACCACAGTCTGTTGAGAGTGATGAGGAAATCTGGCCGATACTCGACGCTCAGAGGAAAAGCAAAACAGACATATAATCAGACTGCTACAAGCACCACTGGTACTGGAACTCTGCACTGGCTGCTGAAGATGAGGACATAGCTCTTATGGGAATGCTCTGACTACTGTGATGTCGGTTCTTGAATCAAATCAAATCACTTTTGGCATATGAAGAATATTCTGCTAAACCCATATTTTTTAATGATAACTGGCAATTTGCTGCCTTTACTTCTCATAACCTTTTCTGGTACCCACTTTACAGTTAGTTAGTTAATCAAGTTTATCCTCACTGCAGGTCAGACAAGTCCATAAGTGCTCCGATCCCATCTTCAGTATGTCCCTCAGCATGTGGACACTGATTACACAAGTTCTATGTTGGTTTTCTGTTCTTTGTTGGCTCCCTGTAGTGTTAATGTCCAGAAATTCCTCCTTTGACCTGAAATTCTTGTAGTGTTTTTAATCTTGCAGATTTACTGTCATCTCTAGATCATCTACTCAGCCTGCCTCCTACGGAGCATTGAGAACATTGGCTCTGTCCATTGTTTGTCCAGTGTTTACCAAGGCCCTACTAGTAAACCAGTCCACTTCTTACTGCATGTGACAGTACACAGTACCGACATCCTTAGTTTTTTTCTTTTTCAGAGTTTAAAGAAGCCATGTTTTCAGCACTACTCCAGTAGAAATTTGGTAGTGGGTACCGTCACCTTTTTGGACAGTCTATGGTGAGTACCGGCACCTTTTTTCTAGGGCAAAAAGACCTGGATCTTTCTTGTGTCAAGGTAAAAATAAGAAATTAAGGATCCTGTTCATGTCCTTAGTCTATGAAGCTCAGAATGATAGATCTATTTTTGTAAAGATCAGTCTGCACTCTATGGAAGAGGTGATCAACATCATGCCAGTCCCTTTACTTCCCAGGACACCTCCTGGTAGAAATTCCAGGCTGGGCAAACCTGGTTAGTAAAAATCCCCCAAACTTGAGAGAAGCAAGAATCTAGCAAAAGTTATACCAGCCTTCCTTCCTTCTAGAAGAAAGGTACCAATATGGACCACAAAGTGTCTGTTATACTAAAGAGGAAAAAGTCATAAATGCACTGTACAACATGGCTGCTATATTTCCACTCTTTAACTGACATATCCACTTCTGCAGACAATCTGTTGCCCTAATTTGCCTTTTTGAAAATAAAAAAATAAAAATTATGCCTAAACAATACGCAGCTATTGTGTACCACCAAAAAAAAAAAACTTCTATCACTACCACAGATCCGAGTTGAATTTTGTTGAATGTTGAATTAAGAATCAACATCACAACACTCAGGATACTCCCATAAGTGCTCTGTCCCCATCTTCAGCAGCAAGTGAAGAGTTCCAATTCTGATGGTACCAGTAACTGTCTGATTGTTTATCCATCTCATCCTTTCCCTAAGTTTTAAGCGTCGGCCAGATCCCCTGGTAACTCCTTGCAGGACCATTCTCCTTAGACCGTAATGATCTAACTGTGCCTCTGCACTGTTCACTCGCTGGCAAAGATCCTAGTCACCCCTCTAAGTACTAACCACAGTGATATTGCTTGCTTTTGGTGTTAGGACAAGAAGCATTATTGACATAGGTTCCAGCACAAGAGGAACAACTCAGAACACAAGACTGAAAACTCCAAACACAACAGATTGAACTTATGATACAAGACAGGCAACTTCTAGCACAAGATAGATGACTCATGTTATTAATTTATGTGTGGCCAGGATATGTCAGCTGTGAATTTGTGTGTGGCTATGATATGTAAGCTGTGAATTTGTGTGTGACCAGGATATGTTAGTTGTGTATTTGTGTGTGGCCAAGATATGTTAACTGTATATCTGTGTGGCCAGGATATGTTAGTTGTGAATTTGTGTGTGGCCAGGATATGTCAGCTGTGTATCTGTGTGTGGCTAGGATATGTCAGCTGTGTATCTGTGTGTGGCTAGGATATGTCAGCTATGTATCTGTGTATGGCTAGGATATGTTAGCTGTGTATCTGTGTATGGCTAGGATATGTCAGCTGTGTATCTGTGTATCGCTAGGATATGTTAGCCGTGTATCTGTGTATGGCTAGGATATGTCAGCTGTGTATCTGTGTATGGCTAGGATATGTTAGCCGTGTATCTGTGTATGGCTAGGATATGTCAGCTGTGTATGGCTAGGATATGACAGCTGTGAATTTGTGTGTGGCTTGGATATGTCTGCTGTTTATTTGTGTGTGGCCAGGATATGTGAGCTGTGTATCTGTGTGTGGCCAGGATATGTCAGCTGCGTATTTGTGTGTGGCCAGGAAGATGTGGACAGAGTGCTTATGGGAGTTTTCCGAGTGCTGTGATGTCGATTCTTAAACATTATTCATATAGTATTAAAAAGGGATATTATGGGGATGTTATGATTAACTTTTTGAGTACTAGAAGGTTTCACACAGGAAATAGTGATGAAATAATCATGATCCAAAATCAAGAATACTTTACTTTTAAAGTAGCAAAATGCAGTCGTGGTGACCAATGGGGAAAGCTAGATTTCTCCAGTACGTCTGACCAAATGGTGCAAGTCAGAAAGCACATTGTGCTATTGAGGGTTAACAAGGGGTAAATTCATTTACACAACAAACATTGCTTGAGTCTCAGAAAGTTAATTTTTGTCTCCCACTTTCTGTTCTCTTTCTTACATGCATGCACACATGCCACACACACACACACATGCCACACACACACACACATGCCACACACAATCTTCATTTCTTCTTCCCTGAAAGTTTTCTACTAAATCATTATATCTTTATGTAAGTAACAAAAGGAAACTTACAGATTTTGTTTTTGTGGTTGGGTAGACACAGGTCTCTACAATTTCTGTCATGTTGCACCAGACTTGAATGGCATCGTCTATAGAGCCCAGATTTGGATCTATCCAGTACCAGCCTGAAAAGTTGAAGAAACCTCTACAATGTAGACTTAATGTTTTCTTTATGTAAAAAATATGTGTGCTAAAAGCAATAACTACTCAGAAAACTAAAACAAACAAAACAACAGTCAGAGAAGTGTTAGAAACCTAGAGATTAGTTTATTTAAAAATTGTTGGAAATCTAGAGACTGGTTAAAAAAAAATTGTAAGAAAATATAGTTATGTTTTATTTGAGAATTATTAGAAATATAGAGATATGAACATTTAAAAACTGTTAACAATCTAGAGACTGGTTTATTTAAAAATTGTTAGAAATCTAGAATATTGTTTATTTGAGAATTTTCAGAAATATAATGACTGTAATCACAGACAGTAGTGACAGTTTTTGTTGTTTCTGGAGTTAACATCAACTACAGGACTAATCCTCTCTGTCATCTGATATTTTGATGAAGCTCCCTGGATTCATTAGATCGTAGGATTTGTTGTCTGAATGTTTAAACCTTCCATTCATCATCATTATAAAGAACTTAAACTCTCCTTTTATCTCACTAAAATACATAATCATTGCTTTAAAACATGAATCAACAAACCAGTTTTGAATTCTGGATGACCCAGTTTGATTTCTCTGCAAGACAAAGCTGGGTTTTCTCGCTTTCCCTCGGGGTATCTGAAACTGTCAACATCCTTCTTCAGGGCATCGATGTGATTCAGCATCACCTTAGACACTTCTTGGATGACTTCTCCTACCTGAAAAAACAATCAGTATTTTAGGATAGAATTTTCTTCAGTCTTCTTCTTTTGTCAAAATCTGCTTGTGCCGCTAGGCGTCGCAGTCTATCTGATGATCGGCAACCGAGCCAGGGCGCGCTCAGTCGCTTCATATGCCGTGATGTTATGAAGTCTCAAGTTGTTCGTGACTCCTTCAATCCATCTTCTTCTTGGTCTTCCCCTGCCTCTTGGTGTTTTGATTTTCATGTTGAAGGCTCTTGATGCTGGCATCGTTGGTTCCATTTTCATTAGGTGGCCAAACCATTTCATTCTTTGCTTTCCTCAGTAATTAATCAATAATTTTTTATAGTCATTAGATCAAAATTTACCATGTTTATTGATAAAATTAATCTAGCATGATATTTCTCATATGATTTTTCAAGATAAATTAACATAATTCACAGAATGTAAAATTTAACATTCCCTTATAGGAATAATTTTTAACATGCTTAAGAAACATTTATTAATTGTAATTCCTCATTAAATAATTATAATTCCCCTGTCATCACAATCATGATCATCATCATCATCATCATGATCATCATCATGATCATCATCATGATCATCATCATCATGATCATGATCATCATCATCATGATCATCATCATCATCATCATGATCATCATGATCATCATCATCATGATCATCATCATCATGATGATGATGATGATGATGATGATCATCATCATCATCATCATGATCCTCATGATCATCATGATCATCATCATCATGATGATGATCATCATCATGATCATCATCATCATCATCATCATCCTCCTGTCAGGTCATTATTCCTCACACAGGGCTCGCAGTCCAGACCTCCATTCCATTCTATCCTGTACTGTGATTTCACGATCATACATGGAATCCTGTCCAGCACTTTTGGTTTCACGCAGCAATATTTGTTTTAGCATTTCTTTTGGACGTCCTTGTTTTCTCAAGCCATCTATTTCCGACTTCCATGCCAGGCTGGCTTCTTCTCAGGATGTGTCCAATATGCCGTCAACTTTTTTGTCTTATATCTGTTGTTATCTAAGGCTGTTCAGACTTTCTTTCCTCTAGAATTCCTGTTAATTCTTAGGTTTAAACAGAAAATATTACACAAAATTCACAACACACAACGAGCGATAAACACCTGGTGACACAAAGTGCCATCATTTGGATAAGAATCCCCTGGACACAAGTTCCAGAAACTCGTTCAATCTTTAGGTTATATTTTGAGACCCCTGACAGAAGCTGGGTTGGGGCTTAGAAATTGCACAAAAATTTGCATCCTTTATGGGGGCTGAGATTCTGAATAACTGGAGAGATAATGGCGTAGAGATTTCCAACGTGGGATTTGGCACCATATTTTGTAGAAAAAAAAATATATAAACCCATTGCTACCCAAGAAGCATGTCATAAAATATGGCTGCTGAAGATGAGGATGGAGCACACATGGAAATGCCCTGTGTGCTTTAATGTAAATTCTTGACTCAACTCAACTCAAAATGTGGCTAATTAAGGATTTGCTGAAATCAGATGTGCTGGACCAAAAGGTCAGATATCACAGCCTAGCTGTAAACAACAATACAACATGCTGACCATCATTTGATGGTAATGTAAAGAAAGAAAAAGAAGAGAAGAGTAGTTTAAAAAAAAAAAAAAAAAAAAACAAGACACACCTGAACTTCAACTCCATCATGTTGTTTGGCCAGGAGTTTGGCTCTGACACTGGCCAAATCATCATCGATGTCCATACCATCGGCAGACCTCCTCCTCCTCTTCTTCCTCCTCCTTCGTCGAGATGAATCCTCATCACCCTGTGTATTCTGCAGACCCAGGTTTGCAGGAGAGACTCCAAGAACTTCACCTGGTGGACCTGGAGGTCCGGGGGGACCCTGTATAAAGTAATCAAAAATAAATGTGTACTGACCTATTAATCTCAGCTACTGTGTTGCCCGAATCAGAATGGGTCTTATATTAATTTTCACTCCAAAAGACACCTCAAGATTTATTATTTGGGGATGTCTTTTTTTCTTCACTTACAGGAATCTATGCTATTTAAGTATAAAATTCTACATTTATTTAATTATATGAGGTACATTCATTACTTTACAATTCAACATGTCCTTCCTGCCTTTCGGGAATGAAAGAAATATGCCATCTGCGATAGAAGGTGAATCTGTGACTTAAGAATTTGCTGAAATCAGATGTGCTGGACCAAAAGGTGCAGATTTCACAGCCTAGCTGTAAACAACAATACAACATGCTGGCACCTTTTGGTACAGCCAGTGAATATTGCAGACAAGCAGCTAGTTCATCAGCCTGGAGAGAAAGATCCCAGGGGGAATGCCCAGAAAATCCTGCTGACAATCAACACTCTGAGAAAAGCTACTGGGGCATATTTTCAGCTACTGGTATCATCAGTTTTAGAAATGTTCTGGCTGTTGAGGATGGGGACAGTGCACTTATGAGAATGTCTTGAGTGCTGTAATGATAGTTCTTAACTCAGCTCAGCTCTGTCAGTTAAATTCTACTTTTCTGTGTGTCACTGGAGCTCATCTTTTCACTGTTTGCCACTTTAACTTTTTTTTTAAAAACTCACCATATGTCACTTAATCTATTATGTTCACTAAACTCTTCTACACAAGGAAACAGAATGGTCATAGACCACAAAGCAGACCAAGAAGACGATGCAGAGATAATGTCCAGATAGACCTAAAAAACTGGCATCACCAACCAGAAAGAGAAAGCTAACCAGACAAATTAATTGAGGCGGGTGGTATCTGCAGCAATGAACCTAAAAGGCTTGGAATGCTAAATAAGAAGAACAAAGACTCTTCGATTAGCTAAAAATTTAAATACTTTGAACTTGTTAATTCTTCCACTTATTTAAATAAAAGTAAAAGCATATGACCCATAACTTACAGTTGGACCACTCTCTCCTTTAGGTCCAGTGGAACCCTGAAAAACAAGGAGACGAACATGTGGTCACATCAAGATTCCAAATTAATCCAAAGATGAAATTCTGATCAGAATTTTGAATTCCAACATGGTTCATTGTTTAAAAAACTGGTAAAATAAAATACTTCACTTTGCAGGTTTTAGACAAACTGATAATTTGCTCATTTCAGAATCATCTTTATTGCACATTAGGCTTACCCATAAATGATTCAGTCTTCTCCAAAACTTGGTTCTTACAGTGTTTGCACAGGTCATCTTCTTCTTCATGTTCACTGGCTGTAAACTCCAGCTCTGGGTGTTCAACCACCTCCGGACTTTAGTCATGCTTCAGAACCTGAGTGTGGTGGGCACATCCATTTCACAGATCTGGCTTATATGTATGCAGACTTATGGTCCCTTGCCTTTCAGGCAGATGTACTCCGACTTTGAAGGATGTCCCCAGTTAGTCGACTCCTATGACATGCTTGTTGGGGAGGCAGTGGGTCTATTCTTGTTTTCCTCACAATGGGGCCCCCAAACCCACATGGGGAATGTTGACTCCTTGTGTGTACTGGTTGATGTGAACTCTTGCATGGGTTTTATGCTTTACTGCTTCGACTGGCATGTTTAGACTTTTTGCTCTAGTCAGACAGAAACCAGTATCATTATTTTTGAAACTACTGGTAAATATTAATGCCTTGTACAGGAAGATATAGGGCACAAGGTAAACCAAGAGCAGAATGGAAAGATAACATCCAAGAAACTACAACAGCATGATGTGTCTATAGTCGAGGCAGCCAGAAGAGTAAGAAGCAGAACTTCCTCAACAACTGAGGTGGTAAAATAAGAAATGAAGAAGAAGAAGAAGAAGAAGGCTATAAAATTATTATTATTATAAGTAAATAAAGAAAGTTTTTGACACCATTGATGCATCCAGAATATTGTGTTAACTCATAGTTTTATGGACCCATCAGCATCCGATGGTTGATGAAATCTATGCCATACTGATCCCTTTTATTTCCTAAGAATTTACCTGTCACCTATACTAGGCTGGTTTAATCTGAAATAGAAAGATGCCGTTGTGTAGTGACTAGATATTCACAAGTTACGGGCTGAAATCCAAACTGAGCCAGAGTCCAAGGATTAGAGGGCAGTGGGTCGATTGCCCCCCCCCCCCCCCCCCCCGGACACACATTGGAGCCCTTTTAATACAAGTGGTCTAATTATAGCCTCATACCCAAAAAATTATCTCATTAATTATTAGATACAATAGTCACATCATAGAAGGGATTGGGGCATCACAACAGAATATTTCTAAAGCTGCACTATAGCAAATCTTCACTGTGGGGATTGCATGCATGCACGCTCACACACAAACACACAGAGAGAGAGAGAGAGGGAGAGAGAGAGAGAGAGAGAGAGAGAGAGAGAGAGAGAGAGAGAGAGAGAGGGATGAGTGGAGGCTGGTGAAATTTGCAGCAATGAACCTCAAGGGCTTGGAATAATAGAGGAAGAATAATAATTACAGCTCCAAAACTGGGTACATCTGTTATTACCCTGGTGCAGCACACAACTCACATATTTCTTTCTGTGTAGTTTTAACTAGTAGAGCCACTCGTTGCAGTTTTCAAGTGTTTGGCTGTTTCTGAGTCACTCCAAGAAGCACAGAGTATACTAAGAGTTATATCCCCGTTCACAAGTCACATGTGCCCACAAAAATGTCTGGTCCTGCTTTCTGGTCACATGTCCCATGTAAATGGTCTTGTATAGAGAACTATTTTGTTTTTACTTACCTGTTCTCCTTTGGGGCCTGCTGGACCTTCAGGTCCCTGTGATTTGAGAAAAACAATAAAAGATGAGTACATACTGCCTCAGCTCAGCCCCAGCTTGTTCATTACAGTTTTTTACTTTCAAAATTCTCTATCCCAGCTAGGGTGACCATAATATTTTGAGCTGAGAATGGGAAATTCTAATACAATTTTGAGCTGAGACCGGGACATCCCACTAATATTTTGAGCTAAAAACGTGACATCCTACTAACATCCCAAGCAAGTCAGTTTAAAACTGCCCCCCTCCCCCTTTCCACTTTTCTTTCTAGATCACCAGTGGTTAAACACTCGCTCAATAATGGTATTAAAGCCCAAACTATTCCTGCCAACAAATCAATAAAACAATATGCTCTTTAACTGCAATGAAAAAAAAAAAAAATACTACAAATGAAATTCTCATCAACACATTTCAGGCATTAAAAGTATCTAAAACTATAAAAGTGTACAGATTTAAGTATAAGCAAATGTTCTAATCTTGAACCTATGTACAAGCATATTTGAATCTCGAGCTTATTCCTAGATTTGTATAAAACCGGACAAAATGGATTACCGATGAGACAGCCGGGGCATACCAAAAATCAGGACTGTCCCAGGGAAAACCAGATGTCTGGTCACCCTGGTCTCAGCCAACAGTTATATTCCCTTACCAGTCGCTGTGGTGTAGCAGCTAGACCTTTGCCTGCGGATCGGATGGTCATGAATTCAAGTCCCGACGGAGCTGGATTTTTCTCTCAAAAATGACTTGATTACAAGTCGACCCAGCCTTTAGTGGGTGCCATGAATGTCCTGGGAAGTAAAGGCGACTGGCTGACCACACTGTCCACCAAGTGCTGACTGATCTATAAAATATAGGTCTAGCCTATTATGCCCAATACAACTGAAGTCGTGGAAAAGGGTCCTTTACTTTTACTTACTTACTTACTTACTTACCTACTTTACTTACTTACTTACTTACTTACTTACTTTACTTACTTACTTACTTACTTACTTACTTATGAAGATTTAACAAGTGAAAATAAAAATCTGATAGATGAAAGCCTTACCCGAGGACCTGGCTGGCCATCCAGACCTGGAGGACCTCTTGGGCCGGGTGGACCCTGAAAAAGTGGGATCACAGAATAAAAACCTGCTTGACTGGATCACACAGAACATATAAAACTAGGATTACCAGATTACCAGATATAAAACTGTAACTCATTCTGTGTGTGTGTGTGTATGTGTGTGTGTGTGTGCAGGGGTGTGAGTTTATGTATGAGTGTGTGCATGCACGCAGATGAATGTATTTATTTGTCTGGGAGCCATGAGTGCAAAGTGGCTAGCATGTTGCTCTGTCAAGCTGGTGGTTATCGGTTCAAACCCACATCTAAGCTGATTGTAAATGCTGACTTGGGCTTCCTTGTCAACCTCACAAAAACATTGATATAAGAAAATATTATGGGAAGTAAAGGCAACTTGTATGATATTGGCCACATCACCCAATAGATGATGAATAAATGTGAGGCAGTACCATATATAATGATGATGAGCTGCAGAAACAGAGCTAGGATGATGAAACATAAGAGGTGAGGTAGAAATGCTGAGCTACAACATGTGGTGTTGCACTATTACTAGGACTCATAGTGGTCAAGAACTTTCTGCGTCTCTGCGTGGTCATCCTAGAAACAGTTCCCCAAAAGGGAACGGGTCGCTGAGTGAATTACAAAAGACAGTGAAGTTCATACTAGAGACAACAGTGCAGATGTAGATAATTTATTGCAAGAGAACAAAAGAAGAAGAAGAAGAAGAAAAAGTTCCCCAACCTGGAGACTGGTTAAGGAGATAGGATCAATATTTCATTTAAAATCAGAGTGCATCTGCCTGAGAGGTGAGATATCATCACTCTCAACATAAATAAGCCAGGACAAGCAAACAGGACATTTAGATGAGGTTTGCAGACAGAGAATGTGAAGAAAAACCCAGCAAAAAACAGCCATAATTGTGTCACAATACTTACTGGCAAACCAACATCTCCCTTTGGTCCTTCCAAGCCTCTAGGTCCTGGCTCCCCCTTTGCTCCGGGTGGGCCTTCTGGACCTGTGTTGCCAATGGACCCTCTGTGACCCTGAGATACAGTGTCAAACACTGAATTTGATTCTTTTTCATAAATACATACAGGTAAAACAAAATATACACATACACACACACACACATATATATATATATATATAGGCTACAGTTTGTATCATCTGTGGGGCCAGCGCAGCATCACATATCTTACTAGACCTATATTTGTAATAGATCAATTGGCACTGGATGGGTAATGTGGTTAGCATTACGGCGGCCATCTTTACTTTCCCAGGACAGCCATCCTGGTACCTATTTTAGGCTGGGTCGACCTGTGACGCTCCATACCATGATAAAAATCCACTCATATATATATATATAGGCTACAGTTTTAATCATCTGTGGTGCCAGCGCAACATCACATATCTTACTAGACCTATATTTGTAATAGATCAATAAGCACTGAGAAGATGAAATGATCAACAGCATGCCGGTCACCTTTACTTCCCAGGACATTACCATCTCAGGCTGGGTCAACCTGGGAGCCAAGGTCAATTCAGAAAAAAAAAAAAATCTGCCACGATGCAGATTCAAACCCAAGATCTTAGGGTTGGCATGTGAGCAGCTTGCTGAAGCAGCTTCATCTGTGACCTAGAAGTATTGACATCATCATCATCAAGTCCTGTTGTGCCATTATATGTCACATAGTGGTCACAGTCTCTTCTTCCATTCCATTCTATCCTTGCAATCCTTTCGATAACAAGGATGGAATCCAGTCCACCAGCTTTGGCCTCTCTCTTCAACATTTGTTTTAGGGTTTCTTTTGGATATCCTCGCGTCTTGATCTCCTTATTTCCTATTGTAGTGCCTGTTTGGTAATTCTCTGCTAATTTCTAGGGATTACCCAGATATTTCACCTACTTCTTCAATCCTCTTGAATTCTCACTACACTCTTGCACTTGTTCAGACTTTGATCTTTGATCTGTATGTTGAGGTTTGTTGCTGTCTACTTATTCTCATAACTTCTGTTTTTTCAAACTGATCTTCATTCGATGTTTAAGGAAACTTGCATGTAGTAAGTTTATGTGGTCCTGCAGCTGTTTACTTTCACTGTGGAAAATATCCTGATCGTTGGCAAAGAGCAGCTCATTGAAGTCCTCCTGTTTGTCGACATCTTGTGGTGTTATGTCTATTTTAATAATAGTCCATGAATATTATTAAAAAGGAAAGGTGAAAGAATACAACCTTGCCTTTCTCCTGATGTTACTGACGTGCATAAGGTAATGTTAAAAACAATAACAGTTATCTAAGGTTAGATTGTTTTAATAAATGACTTAGGGCCCCAGCCTGAAGTTGGTTCAAAGCTGTCTGCCAGGAAGTAAGGTAGCTAGCGTGATGTTGACCACGTCCTTCTGTTTAGTCTATAAACGTGTAGATCTCCATTTACCTGCATTTGTGGAAGTCTCCTGTAATGATGGGGAAAACCCTATGATGTCAGAAAGGATTTCCCAACGGGACAGGTCAGTAAGTGTGTAGGCCATTTAAGAAATAATCAGGGAAAAAACATGGAAAAAGGGAATTGCTAGTTCATGTGAGAAATGATTATTGAGAATCTTGTGATGAGAAAGGAAACAAGTCAAGTTATGAGAGAAGAAAGAGGCATTCTGTGCTAGCCAGCGACTGCAAGTGGACGATTGAATGGAGTGATTGTCTTTGCGTAAACCCGAATAACTGATAGCAGAGATAAGTACCTGGCAAGAAGAGACAGATGGCCAGCAGATAAGGAAAGCCTGTCAATGAATTAAATGAAACCAATTGTTCATTGTATATCAAGAACAACAGACAGCTGTGAATGAGAGAGTCAAGCTGAAACAAAGTAATACAGTTTAATAGTGTCAGTAACATCTGAATCAATATGTGTAACCAGAGAGACCATGCCGACAAGACTGAAGAACCAACAATAAACATCTGTGTGCAAATTCCAGGCATCTTATTGAAGTATTGTTGATACTAACATTTGCAACTGATATAGCACTGTAGCGAGACAAGGCGAGACAATACACTCCTTGTATGTTGATGAATGCCCATATTCTACACCTGCTTTCTTTGACAGCTGACTGACGTGCATATATGTGTGAACTGGACAGATCTCCTGGAAAGTGCCATTTGTGGATTGAAGGGGGTAAGATGACAACATGATAATAAGCCTGGGCAATGTTCTACCCATAAAACTAACTGGGAGCGCTAACTCAGTCAATAAATGCTTGAGGTTTGAACAGTTTAAGGTTTAAACAATGTATCAACATCATGGCACATGGGTAGTAACCCATAAGTGCTCTGTTCTTCTTCTAACTGAAGTCCAAGTTCTAAGAAGCTCAGCAATGTGCACAGGCTCTGTAGCACCAGTAAGGATCCTGAAATACTTTGGGTAGATTTTTAACTCTAAATTTTTCCTGGGCAGCACTGTAAGGCTACTCTTAAATTTTCAACTGCCAAAGGATTTTGTACGTGTGCATAAATGTACATGGGTGTCCGATCTCACTACCCAGAGACTAGAGGGAGTTACTAGAAGTCCAAGTCCATGTGAAAAAAATCCCAGCAGAAACAATGCTTGAAGAAGTCAAATGTAAAAGGCACAAATATGCCAGCCTGGATAAAAAAAGAAAAACAATGAGAAGAAGAAACACAAATAACCTTACCTTTATTCCTTTAGCTCCTTGGTTCCCCTTCAAACCAATAGGTCCTGGAGGTCCCTGAAGAAGAAGTAAAGTCTCTCTGTAATTTTTCACAATTAATAAAATATATAATATATGACCAGCCATTTTTGTATGCCCATGCAACAGAAGATGTGTTATTCCACTTTCCACATTTGGTCTGAGCATGCCAAAAAAGCTGGCTATTATTTTTAACCAAATACAAAATAATAGGGTTCACTTGAAGTGTTAAAGTTGACATATACTGTACAGAGCATAATGAGGTGGGATAACCCTCATCATTTGTTCATTTGACGACATCAACATGGAATATCCTCTGGCACCCATTATGAGATTGTGGATAACTCAGAGCCATGTACCAATAAGAAATGAAACCACCACTGTGGAATGGGAACTGAGGAAGTACAGTGGCACTGGAGAATGTAGTGACTGAAAAGCTCAGTTGTATAATAGACAGATAGGCATATAGGGAGACATATTATACAGGCTGGTCTAAGATAGAGGCATGCATCTAAAATAATCAATATAGTATGACTACTTCTGAACATACAAAAAATAAATAAATATGAAAGAACAGATTTAAGCTGTCTCTGATTAATGTGAAGGTGGTTTGTGGTAATGACATTGTAAATATAAAAATATATTCACATCCAAATATCCACTCTAAACTCAAAGCAAAAATAAACTGAATGGGTCCACTGGCTTTGCTACAAGTAGCTGTGGTGCAGCAAAGCAAACTGTAGAGCACTTTTCAATGATTGCCCAGACTTGCCACTCCAGAGAAATCTGGCCCATGAGAGATAACCTACAAGATGAACTATCTTCTTCTCTTCTTCGCGTTCACCAGCTGTACACTCTGGCAGAAAGTTCTGGTTGCTCGTCCACTACTGAACTGCAGTCCTGCTCCAGAACCTGAGTGTTGCGTGTGCATCAGTTTTACAGATCTCATTCTCTTGAATACAGACTGTTGGTTCCTTGCCTCTCCGGCAGATGCACTCCGACTTCAAAGGAAGCTCCCCAATTAGTCGACTCTTACGACATGCTTTTGGGGAGGCAGTGGGTCTATTCTTGTTTTCCCCACAATGGGGCCCCGGAACCCACACGGGGAAAGATGAACTATGAAACACCGGTGAAGACATCAAGCAACCCCCCCCCCCCCCCTGTTTGTGGACCCATACTGGAATGGATACATATAACCAGACTGCGACTCGCACCATTAGTATCAGAACTCTGTGCTGGCTGCTGAGGATAGGGACGAAGCGAGAATTGGAATGCCCCAAGTGCTGTGATGTCAATTCTTGACTCAACTCAACACATCAACGTTGTATGCTGAAGAAAATTTTTTTTTTCAGTCCTTGATTTTTCTGTCCTTTATCCCCCTCAACCAACTCACACCAGGTCATCTTATCCGTATACCTTATTTCTTTGTCTCTGTGTTTCCAGTGTAAAGACATTCTAGTTATATTGTTCTCAGGTTTATTCAAAATTTGACTTAATCAGCGTCAGCATATTATTTCACCTCTTCATTCACTGGAATTTGTTTAGTTCTCTCCAAAGCTCCACATTTGTGATTTTATCAAACCATTTAGTTTCCTCAGTTCTGTGCAGGCACCAGTTAATGAATGTTGTTAGTTTATTAGTAATTGTTGAAATTATTATTCATGTTTCAGTTCCATACAGATTTGATTTTCATCCATTTTCCCATTGTTAATATTTAGACATTAGATAGATTTGAAACTAAAATAGTCAAATATGTTTCTAGGTGATAACAAATAGTATAACGACAGTTCATGATTAGGATGGTTGCTTGTATGAGCAATCTCTAAAAAAAAAAAAAAAAAATCTGACACAAGATTTTGTGAAACCTGGCTTATAAATACTTACAACTCTTCCTTGCTCTCCTGGGGTACCAGGTGGGCCTGGCACTCCTGTTTCACCCTGAAGACAGAGAAATATAATTTTTCTGAATTACTTATAGTCTTTATATGTCTGGAGCCTAACTGCTATTCTCTATTAACATGCTTCTGTGTTCCTTTTCTTATTCTTTTCTCTGGTCCATCTTTTGCCTTTCAGTGTCAGGTTGGGAAGAGGCATCTGATGACAGCCTTAATGTGTGTTTCATAATGGCTGGTGTTAAAGGCCTCAGGTATTTCAAGTATCCATCACTTGCATCGGTGACCTCTAGCTCTGCTTTTGTTGTACTCCTTGTGCAGATTCTCACTGATGTGGTTACCAATTTTGTAAAATTGATGTGCATACAAAATTCAAATTCTGCAACAAGACCAAAGTTCAGAAGTGGATGAACAACAAGGACTTTGTAATCTCTGATTAAAATAACAAGAATGGTTTCCACTGGGTCTTGATGACTCTCTGGTACATTGTCCTGTGGCAGTCATGATGCATGTCTGAAAGATCTGATCTGCTTGCTGTAATTTAGCACTGGTTCTGACCCAACCTATTTCCTAATATTGTTGTTTCACATCTGTCTCCTCTTGCTACATTTAGGCTTCGTTGAAGGCATTTCATTCTAATGCTTACTTTTTTTCTATTTACTTTTGCTGTTGCATCTGCATATGGCACTGGTAACACAATGTTGTTAAATGAGTGAACAGTGCTTGTTTGTTCTGCAATATTTGTGACATTTCTCCAATGTTTTAATTTGCTTTACTACATCTACAGTTCATCTGTGTTTCCTGTTTTTTCACTGGATATTAATTATGCAAAGATATCTGAAGTCTTTATCTTGTCTGAGTTGGTTTTCTTTTCATATCTTGATTGGTTGTTTTGTTCTTGTTCTGTATCCAAAAATAAACTCCTTTTAGCATTAGTTGAAAGGTACTCATGATCCTATCCAAATATAATCTTGAAAAACCTGGCGAGGTCAAAACAAAATATAAATATTTCAACAAGAATATCAACAACATCCATTTCACTCACCCATTCACACTCACCCACTCACTCACCCACGCACTCTTATTCAATAACTTAGAAGCATAGCATGGATTTTATGTGCAGCACATTTAGGTTTGCGAGGTAATGAGCAGGCTGGTAGTTAGCTGCTGCTAATCCTCTGGGGGTTGAGTTACTTTTATGATAAAGCGGAGGTGGCAAAGGCCCTTTAGGATCAAATGGACAATGCAGTAGAGCATACAGATATTCAATACCCAAAAATCTATTTGAAGGGGGGATGGGGAGGGGGAACGTATTAAATACTGAGGAGGAACATAGCAGACTTTTAATCAGGCTGCAGCTGGTACAACTAGCATGTCAATTTTTTGTTGGTTACCGAAGAAGGGGACGGAGCACATATGGGAATGTCCCGAGCTCGGTGATGTCAGGTCTTGATTCATTCATTCAACTATCAAGAGCACAGCACATACTTACCACAGGTCCTGGCTGTCCTGGTGGACCGGGAGGACCCTGTGGTCCTGTAACACCCTACAAATCAGGACAAGAAGAGACAAAAAATATGGTTGTTATACTAGACACTGTGCTTACTTAAAATAAACTGTCTATTCCAGGCAATTATTATTTCAAAATAATAACAACTAGGAAGTGAAGGAGTTTACAAGATTTAATCCTGGAAGGAGTTAAATTAACAGCATTAATCTTTCAGTCTCAAATAAATAATCATGTATGAAAATCATCACTGGATTATGCATCTGCTTGCTTTTTACCTTTGGCCAAATACACTAAATTAATCTGGCTTCATCATGGGTCAGTTTCCCCATGTTTAGTCTATTATTATCTCATTATATTCATCTTCTTCTTATGAGGATAATATTTGTTGGCTAATATTTCCAGGTGGTCTTTGTGGGAAAACAGCTATACTAGAATTGTACTTGAACTTAGCACTAACTACTGATACCATGGGGGTGACAGACTGCGATAGTTGGGGCATATAAAAAGAATGGCAGATAAGAGGGAGACAAAAACTGTGAAGACAAAAGAGTTGAATGTAAGCAGATCATGAGGCAGATCATAAAGATGATAAAGAGGCAACATACACACAAACACTTGGAGTCAGAAAGAGGAATACAGCTAGATGATATCTGCAGCAATAAACCTCAGGGGTTCAGAAAGCTGAAGAAGGAGATACCTGAAGGTTCTGCCTTGTTTACTTTCGTTATACATTTTAAATGGAAAGTTCTGATCATTTATCCACTTATGGATTTTGATCTTGTTCCAGGAGTTTTGCAGGCACATCCATTTTACATATATGGTTTATTTGTATGCAGGCTTAAAAGAAAACACCCGTTATTAGTTGCCTTGTATGCACCCATGCAGGCGGGTGGTAGGCTATTCCCCACCCCCCCCCTCTCCCCAAATGACGCCATGGAACCCACATGCCTGACTGCTGTGTATTTGTGCGATCATCATTATTTCCAGTGTGCAGTATCCAACAGCATGTATCAATTGGTGTTCAGACACCTTTCCAACAGCATGTATCAATTAGTGTTCAGTATCAATTAGTGTTCAGACACTTTTCCAACAGCATGTATCAATTAGGGTTCAGACACCTTTCCAACAGCATGTATCAATTAGTGTTCAGACACCTTTCCAACAACATGTATCAATTAGTGTTCAGACACCTTTCCAACAACATGTATCAATTAGTGTTCAGACACCTTTCCAACAACATGTATCAATTAGTGTTCAGACACCTTTCCGTGGAATGAGGAAATACTTTAAAAACAAATTTCTTCAGTGGCTTCCTTACTTTCTCTTTTCATAAATTTATTCAACTGCCAAATGTTTCAATTTTAATGTCTCAGGACTCGCAAACAATTAAAAACAATAATTTTAATTTTTTTAAAGATGCCAAAGTACTGACAGACTAATCACAAACTACAGGGTACCATTAAAAAACCTATGATGTCCTATATATTTGTGATCAGTTCTATAAATATTTTAATTCCTCTCAAAACATATAGATAAATAATACAGTTTGGATGTATAATAAAAAAATATAAAAAATTCTTCTGTAAAACCATATCTTAAAGACCTCATAGGATTTTTAGCAAGTTCACTAAATATTCAGTACTCACAAAACATTCTAAAACCTATTGTATGTTACATGCAAGATTCATTTATCCAGCTTCCAATGACAGGGATTTGTTGCATATGGTTTTTTTCTTTATTTTTTAAAGTGCAGTTATTCTTTGTTTTATTTTGTCCTTTGCCTATGGCATATTTTTCCTTTATGTGTTATCCAAGTCCTGTTAGTGATATTTATAATTTCCAGGGCTTTTTTCCTGGTGTTGTCCAATGGTATGCAGTACAAGCTCCTTTTTTAAGCCTAGTTTTTTTCAGTGCTGGTGTAACAAACACATTGTGATGTGTTCCAGCTCATTTTTTAAGCCTAGTTTATTCAGTGCTGGTGTAACAGACACATTGTGATGTGTTCCAGCTCCTTTTTTAAGCCTGGTTTTTTTCAGTGCTGGTGTAACAAACACACTGTGATGTCTCCCAGCTCCTTTTTTAAGCCTAGTTTTTTCAGCAACAGTGTAACAAACACATTGTGATGTCTCCCAGCTCCTTTTTTTTAAGCCTAGTTTTTTTCAGTGCTGGTGTAACAAACACATTGTGATGTCTCCCTGCTCCTTTTTTAAGCCTAGTTTTTTTCAGTGCTGGTGTAACAGACACATTGTGATGTGTCCCAGCTCCTTTTTTTTAAGCCTAGTTTTTTTCAGTGCTGGTGTAACAAACACATTGTGATGTCTCCCAGCTCCTTTTTTAAGCCTAGTTTTTTTCAGTGCTGGTGTAACAAACACATTGTGATGTGTCCCAGCTCCTTTTTTAAGCCTAGATTTTTTCAGTGCCGGTGTATCAGACACATTGTGATGTGTCCCAGCCTCCTTTTTTAAGCCTAGATTTGTCAGTGCTGGTGTATCAGACACATTGTGATGTCTCCTAGCACCTTTTTTAAGCTAGTTTTTTTTTCAGTGCAGGTGTAACAGACACATTGTGATGTCTCCCAGCTACTTTTTTAAGCCTAGTTGTTTTCAGTGCCGGTGTATCAGACACATTGTGATGTGTTCTAGCTACTTTTTTAAGCCTAGTTTTTTCAGTGCCGGTGTAACAGACACATTGTGATGTGTCCCAGGCCCCCCCTCCTTTTTTTTAACACACACCTTGTGGTGAATACCAAGATCTTTTTTGCTTGAAAAAAGGCACTGATAATATCAATGTTCCTTGCATGGGTTTTGGGCCCCATGTGGGGAAAACAAGAATAGATCCACTGCCCCTGTAACAAGCATGCTGTAAAACTCGACTAACTGGTAACATCCTTCAAAGTTCAAGTGCAGCCGGCAAGGGATCAACAGTCTGCATGCACATAAGCCAGATCTGTAAAATGGATGTGCATGCCACACTCAAGTTCTTGGAATAATGAGACTGGAGTCTGGAGGTGGACAAATAACCAGAACTTTCTGTTGGAGTCAACCGCAGGTGAACATAAAGAAGAAGAAAACATCCATGTAGATTCCAGAAGCATATGTAAGTAGTGAGCACAGAACAAGTTTCACAATTGGACTTTTCAGGCATATAGTGCTAAACATATATTTTTTTACAGACAAACTGGTATTCAGTGGGTAATGTTGTCAACATCACACCAGCCATCTCCTGGTACCTTTTTTCCTGGCTCGGTTGATTGGGAGCAAAGGTCATTTTTGGGTGGCCAGGTTTACATAAAATGGGTTTTAAAAAAAATAAAGAATGAAAGCGGCAGTCAGATAGCTTTCATCAGGAAATTAGAAAAATTAAAAAAAAATCATTTTAATAAACCACTTACTGGTGGGCCAGGCTGGCCTCGCTGACCAGTGGTGCCAGGGAAACCTCTGTCGCCTTTGGGGCCAATAGCACCATCAGAACCTGGTTCTCCAGGTATACCCATCTCTCCCTGTATTGAAAAAAAAAAATTATCATCATGATACGCTGTGTGTAGGCTGTCATGTCTCGTGTTCTTAAACAATCATAGATCACATCAGCGTTCTTGTCTCACCACAACCCTATGGCTAAACCATCTAGGTATTTATCTCTTTCCATAAATCTTTCAAGCTGTTACCAAGTTCTTGTGTCAATTCCTTCTCATGTCTGAAAAAACACCAGATGTCTTATATCTCACTGTTCTAATCAGGTTACAACTTTCATCTGAATCAAGAGAACTGCTTCTGTTGTCTTTCTATCATTTCATGAAACTCATTTCATTCTTCTCAAAAACCACATTCTTTCTGCAAGCAAAATTGTTTTCAGCTTGTCATCTTATTGTTCATGTCTTATATGCAAATAACTACACAAGTTCCGTATATATATATATATATAAATCGGAACTTGTCTAGTTATTTGCATATATATATATATAAATCGGAACTTGTCTAGTTATTTGCATATATATATATATATATATATATATATATATATATATATACATATACATATACATATATATATATATATATATATATATATATATATATATATATATATATATATATATATATATATATATATATATAAATTAACAGTCTTTTTCATCCTGTAATTGGCATCTTTCTTTTTTGAAGAACAAAAATGCATATTCATATAATGCTTTCAATTCTTTCTGTCTGAATTATTGAACCTGAATGAATGGATGAGTGAATGAATGAATAAATGAATCAGACGGAGTGCATGGGGGTTCATAGCAAAAGTGAATGGATGTCGCTTGGTGCAGCAAAGCCTAGCATATGATATCACAATGTTTAGTTTGAGAATGGAGGTGGATGCAGTCAATGCTGCATTCCACTGGCTTGAGAATCAGCTGTACACACATGCCGTGATTGTAACTGACTCACAGAGCATGTTGAGAAAGGTGGAGACAGATATGCTCCGTGCAGAGTGGCAAGCATCATTTCAGAATTCCCAGGTAGTTAGCATTCTTTGGATAGTCTGTACAGCTCATGCCGGTGTCTTGGGAAATGAGCAGGCAGACAGACTGGCCGGTTCTGCACCACTTAGGGTGAACTGATGTATGATAAGCTAGATGTTGTAAGGGCCCTGTGGGAGCGAGTGAACAGTGTGGAAGTGCAAACTGATCATTACAGTCTGAGTAGAATGGGGCTGCGAAGAGTTGCCAGGGAATCTGGCTGATGCTCAACACTCAAGGGAAACGCGAGACAGATATACAGTCAGACAATTACTGGTGCCATCAAAATTGGAACTCTTTGTCTGCTCCTGAAGATGGTGGATGGAGTGCTTATGGGAGTGTCCCGAGTGCTATGATGTCAATTCTTAATTTAACATTCAATGAATAAATGAATCAATCAAGAATTGACATCGCTGCACTAGGGACACTTCCACAGGTGCTCCGTCCCTTTCTTCAGTAACCAGCCAAGAGTTGACATGCTAATAGCACCAGTTACAACCTGATTTGAACCCCCTCTGTTTCCTCCTCAGTGCTGAATATCTTCCAGAACCTCTACTCAACCCCCGTTGAATTAGTCTTTCAGAGTATGGATTCCCTTTATGTTCTTTTGCACTGTCCATTTGATCCCATAGATACATCACCTAATCTGTTAGATTTCTGCTACTTTTATTTGTATTTCACTGGTCTCCACGGTGAAGTGGTCAAACCATTTGCCTTGCGCTCTGAAGGTCATGGATTCATTCCATGGATGCACCATTTAGTTTACAAGTGCGATTGTTTTACAGAGACCCCTGGGCATCATCACTAGAGCAACGGAGTTCATGGTTTGTGTAATGCCCTCAGTGGACATCAGAGAAAGACCGAGCCATATGGAATGAAATCTGGTGTGATGAAGATGATGTTCTCGATTTTACATTAACTTGTATGCAAAAAGTTCCTTTCATGGCATGTAAATGCCTCCAAATGCTTTAGGCTTCTCATGTAAAGGTTTACATGATAGAGGATTGAGTTTATTACAAAATCTACATGGTGCAACACTGCAGAGAAGTAACAGTTTTCACATCATAACCATCAGTACTTATATCTTGCACAGAACAGAGATATGACTTTGCTTGCAGAACTATGAGCCTATCTGCAATAGTAGGCAGTGCAGGAATATATCTCATACACACTACCGGGGTCTCTCTTCTACAACCCAGAATTTCCTGCATGGCTTCATTCTGTATGCGTTCAAGTTTCATCAGCTGACTCTTTGATATGGTAAACATTCCAAGTCCATAATCTATCACCCACAGGATCACATACTGAAACATTGTGAACAGCATTCTTTGTTCGTGAACAGCATTCTTTGTTCTATGTCCATTGCTGCCATAATCTTGAGAGCATTGAGTTCTTTTTGGTATTTCACCACAACTGCATCCGCGTGCTCCCTCTAGGACAGGCTTCTATCGAAAATGATACCCAGGTACCTCAGTTTGCTTTCTCTTTTGATGTTACTGTTATTAATTGTGAGGCTTGGAACATTAGCTCTTACAATTCTATTGTCCAGAGAGCACCACAAAACAGCCATCTTTTCTAAGTTGATGACAGCACCCATTTCTGCACACCAGTCAATCACTTTGTCAGACCTCTGTATATAACCACTGTACATACAATCAAAGCCACTTTTAAATATATTTATCTCAGGATTAATTTCTTTCTTACCTGGATCCCAGGAACACCTGGCAGACCTGTTTCACCGGGAGGTCCTACAGGACCCTGGCGTCAAGTAAATAGTAAAAGAATTGGAGGAACAATTTTAATTAAAAAAATATATACATCACTGTTATGTAATATAATTTGATTCTGTAGGTATCATTATTAGGTAAGATGAGAATATGACTGAAAAGAAATTCTATATATGTACATATATATTATAATGTTAAAAATAATATATACAATAATTAAAAAAAAATTATAATACAACTGTACAAACTAACTGTATAAAAACTGAGAAGTATTATTACAAATCCCTGCATCCATCCATGACCCAACTATTCATACACCTCTATACTCAAACATCTATCCACATGTCCCTTGCTCAGTCTAGCCAGCTATCCATCAATATCCATTCAACCACCACACATCAGTGTGTTTCTATGAATTATTCTGTCTGTCTATCTGTCTGTCTGTCTCTGTATCATTACTGGTATTGCTGAGAGAATTCAAGAAGGCTTGAGAATTAACATGTATGTGTCATAGTGGATTATCTAACTTTTGATACAGAGAAACTAGTTTTGTCTATGTTTATAACATTACATCTTCATTTCACTAAAAAAAAAGTGCCCATGGTGTTGTCAATCTTCCATAAAACCCCAATGACAGCTTCCTTGTCATTATTTTGGCAGAGATATTAAAATGCATTTTCAGAGTTAATCAGGTTTATATTAACTTTAGTAGAAAGAGGAATACAAACACAAAAGAAAAGATGTCAACTGAGCTATTCAATTATTATTTTTTTTGGTGCTTAGCCAATTCATTTTATACTGATGCCACCTTATCATTGAATTGTGTACTAGAAATGAACATGCTGATGTTTATTTATCCAACCACAATTTTTTTTGTAAGGCATAAAAAAAAAAAAAATGGCTTAAGCAGTTATAGAGTAACTGGCTTACCTCCGGTCCAGGAATTCCTGGTTCACCATCCTTGCCAGGTGGTCCAGACTCGCCCTGATTTAAAAAAAACAACAACAACACCATTATGGTAGTAACCTATGAACGTATGGTGCATTTCCTTGGGACTCAAAGAGTTAAATCTACAACACATGAACTACTACTAATCTATTAAATCTACAACACATGAACCACTGCTTAGCTATTAAATCTACAACACATGAACTACTACAAAATCTATTAAATCTAAAACACATGAAGAGCTACTTAGCTATTAAATGTACAACTCATGAGCTATTACTACTCTATGAAATCTGCAAACTCATGAACCACTATTTAGCTATTAAATCTACAACACATGAACTACTACAAAATCTATTAAATCTAAAACACATGAAGAGCTACTTAGCTATTAAATGTACAACTCATGAGCTATTACTACTCTATGAAATCTGCAAACTCATGAACCACTATTTAGCTATTAAATCTACAACACATGAACTACTACTAATCTATTAAATCTACAACACATGAACAGCTACTTAGCTATTAAGTCTACAATTCATGAACTATTAGCTATTAAGTCTACAACTCCTGAACTACAGTTAGCTATTAAATCTACAACTCACGAATTACTACTTAGCTATCAAATCTACAAATGAACAACTAGTGAGCTCACCTTTGGTCCAACTTCTCCAGGCTCCCCAGCAGGTCCAGGAGGTCCAGTTATACCCTGTCAAAAACAAATTTAACAAGATATTCACTGTAACATTTAATAAGTTATTCTCTATCAAATTTAATGATGTATTTTCTATAAAGTATAGTAAGGCAATGCCTTAATAAATATAAGATATTTTCTTTAAAATACAATTAAATATCCACTATTAAACATAAAAAAAATTATCTTTCAAGTGTAGTAAGATATTCTCCATAAAATATAATAAGATATTCTCTGTTGAAGTTCATACTAGAGACAACATTGCAGATATAGATCATCTATTTCAAGAGAACGAAAGAAGAAGAAGAAGAAGAAGATATTGCCTACCAGTGAAGTTCATACTAGAGACAACATTGCAGATATAGATAATCTATTTCAAGAGAACAAAAGAAGAAGATTTTGCCTAGCAGTGAAGTTCATACAAGAGAAAACATTGCAGATATAGATAATCTATTTCAAGAGAACGAAAGAAGAAGAAGAAGATATTGCCTACTAGTGAAGTTCATACTAGAGACAACATTGCAGATATAGATAATCTATTTCAACAGAACAAAAGAAGAGGAAGAAAAGTTTGCTAGCAAGCATAAGGTTATTATAAGTTTACAATGTATAAAATAATAGTCTGATCAAACTTGGGGAAAAAGTCACAGACAGAAGAGACAAGTGAAAATTATTCTGCAGCAAAATAGCCCTGAAAATACATTAAATCGACTTAATAAGAAAGACAATAGTTATAAAATGTTGACATGTATGATTACAATGAATAATATACAACAAAACACAAGAAAGCATAGAGGAGAGAGACAGAAAGAGAGAGAGAGAGAGACAGAAGACAGGAAGACAGACAGATATATAGAAATATAAGCAGACAGCCAGACAAGATAGAATGATTAACCAACCAACCAAATAATAATTTAAAAAAAAAAACAGGCAGGCAGACAGACAGACATATAATAGATATGAACTAAGAAGACACAAACAATAGACTGCACAATTTATTGCCTGGCATATTTCACTGTATCTCGTCAGGTGCATACTACAGTAACAATTCATTAAAATGAAGCAAATAGCTGAATCCTAGAAACTGAAACACAAATTTGAGTACATTTCAGACTGTTTCACAAAGGTAAGCGTAGGGCAACGACCATTTCTTTTTGCCTACATGTTTGAAATGTACTCGAATTTGTGTTTCAGTTTCTAGGATTCATCTATTTGCTTCATTTTAATGAATTGTTACTGTAGTATGCACCTGACGAGATACAGTGAAATATGCCAGGCAATAAATTGTGCAGTCTATTGTTTGTGTCTTCTTTGTTCAAATTCACAACGGGGAAACATTGCTTTGATATAATAGATAGAGAGTAAATGAATGAAAATGATGTATGTCTCTCATCTTCATGTGATATAATCCAGGCAAAACCATCTTACCTTGTCACCTTTCTCTCCATCCTCACCCCTCTCGCCTCTTGGACCTGGTTCACCTGGCAACCCCTGCCGTCCTTCATCCCCTTTAGGTCCTAACAAGCCAGGAGGACCCTGAAAAAAAATATTTAACACATGAGCAAAACCAAAGAGAAGCTTTAAAAAGAAACACTGCACTTATAAAACAATATTTATATCTCTCAGCACTCTCAGCGAGCACTGAATGTGGCTCCCATGTTAAAATAGGGTAAAAGTGGCTATGTCATTGAGAGTAAGGCCCATTCACCATAGCAATTAACTCTTTGGGCATCAGTAGGTGTCACAGCAAACATTCATAGAAGAAGGGCATAGCCACAATGCAAAATCATGAGTGGATGACCACAAACAGGCTGAATTTATTGTCAAAATGGACACTGTAGAAGCCAGATTTTTAGTAAGCTCTGATCAAATATAAAATATTAGAAAACACTTTACTCTATGGTAGAAATTAAAAGATAGGAGATATTAACACACCAAGCGCTACCTGGCATCCAAAGAGTTAAAATATAGTGAACAAGCTAGAATGCAGATTTATTTTAAAAAAAAAACTTTGCTTTACAAAGTAAAGATCACCCAATCTGCAGATACTCTTTTTAGGAAGGTGCAATACACCTATGTTAGACAATTGTGATATATATATATATATATATATATATATATTTGTAGAAAGAGTTGCCGCACATTTATTTAAAACAAACAGACTTACTGGTGGGCCATCTGATCCTGGTGTTCCTGGAGGGCCAGGTGGACCATAGTCTCCCTTTGCTCCCGGTGGACCCACTTGGCCGGGACTACCTGGTTCCCCAGGAGATCCCTGGAAAACAGAAAACATTTTGAAAGTAATATACATCAATCAACCAGATGCCGTCTCCACAATGAAGGTTGGCTGTAATGGATCTCCAACAAGCCGTCTCTTGCCCTTGATGTACACTCACTCATACTGCTGTTCATCCATCTCTTGATGTTATCCACCCACTTGTAACGCTGTCTGCTTTTTGCTCACCTACCTTGAACCTTTCCCTCTAGGATGATCTTTACAATACTGTTATGTCTTTTAATGTGGCCAAAATATTTCACTTGTCTCTTTTTATATATACATACCTACGTCTAATAAAGCTGGGATCTGTATGTAACTGTACCACATACTTTTTATATATACATACCTACGTCTAATAAAGCTGGGATCTGTATGTAACTGTACCACATACCTTTTATATATACACACCTACGTCTAATAAAGCTGGGATCTGTATGTAACTGTACCACATACTTTTTTTGTCCAACTGCTTGTGCAGGAAAGCATCATGGAGAGGAGTTATATGTAGACAAGATATCATAGACAAGAAGTGAAATCAAACAGACAGCAAATACTATATTTGAAACCATAACTTAAATCAAATTACAGCAAATTTTATATCTGACAGCAGAATTGCAATCTAACACAGCTAAATATGTTTGTAAACCAGAGTTGAAATAATCAAATATTAATCTGAAAACATAACTGACATAATTTAAGAATAGTATACAAAAACAGAACAAGAGAACAAGATACAAAAACCATGGAATCTGTAAATTAAATTTTGTTGGATCTCTGCCACTAAATGAACTGAAATAATATAAACAAAACTGAATAAATATTTAAAATATAAAAATCAAAAATACATGAAAATAATTTCAATAAATATATTCGATATCCCCTTTGTGTCAGTGCTCATATATAAGGTGTTCACAAGGTGACCTCTGTTGCTGCGGGTCTGTAGCTGTTCAGCTCAAGGTATCCCATATCCATTTTCACACCAATTCCCTTGCTACCGTCATTCTCCAGGTTTCAAAAGTCCCCAGTGGTTAGCGCTTTTTAAATATTTTCTTTGTGGAGTCAGGAGTGTTGAGAAATGAACAGGCAGATTAGTTGGTTCTCTACCAATGGGCGATGGATTTTTGCATGACAAGCTAAATGTGATCAAGGTACAAAACAATCATTAGGGTCTGAAGAGAATGGTACAGCTGGGATTGACCAGGGAATCTGACCGCACTCTACTTTCAGATGAAAGGAAAGTGGACATATAATTAAACTGCTACTGGCACTACCAGAATTGGAACTCTTAACTGGCTGCTGAAGATAAGGATGGAGCACTTATGGAAAATGTCCCAAGTGCTGTGATGTCAGTTCTTAGCTCAACAACAACATTCTCTAGGTTTTCTAAAGCTGTCCACGTTTCCCTTTTTCATCTGCCATCTACTAGGAAGCTATCCACGTCTCACTTTTTCATCTGCCATCTACTAGGAAGCTATCCACGTCTCACTTTTTCATCTGCCATCTACTAGGGAGCTATCCACGTCTCACTTTTTCATCTGCTATCTACTAGGAAGCTATCCACGTCTCACTTTTTCATCTGCCATCTACTAGGGAGCTATCCACGTCTCACTTTTTCATCTGCTATCTACTAGGAAGCTATCCACGTCTCACTTTTTCATCTGCTATCTACTAGGAAGCTATACATGTCTTCCTTTTTCATCTGTCATCTACTAGAAAGCTGTGCATGTCTCCCTTTTTCATCTGCCACATCTACTGGGGAGTTGTCCCTGCCAAAGTGTTAAAAGGCATTTTGCAAACATGTCCAATCCATCCCCATCTTCCTAATTTGAACTATCATGGAAAGATATTAAACCGAACGAAAAGTAGATCAATGAGCTTCACAATATAACAAGCACATTTGAAAAGTGAATGTTGCGGCTACAGAGCCATCATCAAATCAAACAAACTCACATGAATACATAAAATCACTTAACTGAAGTATTCCAAAGCAGCCACACTGATGTCTTGCCAGTAGAATGAAGAGATACATATGACCCAAGAATAAATTGCCCCAGAATGCAAATGTTAATTTCAACTAATAATGCAGTCAAAATTACATAAAGCCAGACTGTCGGAAAGTCTACATTATTACTCTGCAATAAATACTGTGAATACATACTGTGTGCAGTATACACACACACACAAAATGATAGTCTCTCCTTTTCAGTTGACCTTTATAATTGCCACCATTTATTATATGACCTCTATATTTTCCACCGTTTATTAGATGATCTCTATATTTTCCACCATTTATTAGATGACCTCTTAAATTGCCACCGTTTATTATATGACCTCTATATTTACCATCGTTTATTAGATTACCTCTATATTTTCCACCCTTTATTAGATGACCTCTACAATTGCCACTGTTTATTAGATTACTTCTATAGTTGTCACCATCTGTTAGATTTTACTTACTGCTGTTCCTGGGGTTCCTGGACTTCCCATAGGTCCAGGGGATCCAGGAGGTCCCTGCAAAAGAACAGTGATATTTTAAGAAAGTAAAAGGGATGTTATTTTTTCAGGTTTAGCTAAATATACAGTAAATACAGTTCAAATATGCTTAAATACAGTTTATGGTGGTGGAATAATCTGGCTGGTAATGTGGTCAACCCATTTGTCATGTGACCTAAAACTATGTTCTTCAGCCACCTAAAGCTGAAGTGAATCAAGTATTTCAGAATTACAAACCCCACTCATAACCCCTAAGACAGAGATGATGACCTTTAGAAACACACTTGAGTAAATTTAGAAAGACATAGTAGAAACTGGAGTAGATAGGGCAGCATAGAAAGGAAAGGAACATGAGATAGTTGAGAGTTCCTGTTCATTTGGAGTACACACATACACACACACACAAAATATTAGGAAGAATAAGGATAAAGTAAAACTAAAGCAGCAGTAGAAGATGAAGAGAAGAAGAAGTCAAAGGACCATAAGAAATTATTTGGATTCAACACGACAATCATTCAAATAAAATAAACTAATTATTCATTTCCTAAACAATGATGAAAACAGCGGGGAAAGGAGAGAGAGAAATCAATGAAGTTCATAATCTGTTTAAAACACCACTGATCACTGGCATCATGAGGACTAGTAGACTGAAATGGTTGGGGCTTATAGAGAGAATGTCAGATGACAGAGAGGTAAAAACTGTGTACACAAGGGAGCTGAATAGCCGTAGATATGATGCTCTCCGAGAAGATGGTGGAGAGATAATGTCCAGGCAGACTAACAAACACTCAAAGTCATCAGCTGGAAAGAGAGGGACAGTCACAAAGGTAAATGGAGGCAGAAGATATCTGCAGCAACAGACCTCAAAGGCTTGGCTGTAAGGAAGTAAGTAATACAATATTAAATCAATTGTTGCTACTGTTGCATTGTTAAATCTACATGACATAATTATCTGTCTGAAATACTTTCATTACCATATTTAACAACAAAAACTTTATATACACAATAATTGTGACAATTTTTCTGTAAAATAAACAACAGTGAAAATATAGATCTCACCAATTTTCCAGGCTCGCCAGATTCTCCTTTAGGTCCTGGTGGCCCAGGCAATCCCTGAAGTCCAGCTGCACCTTCTGGGCCGGTCAATCCACGAGGTCCTTCAGATCCCTAGGGAAGTAAACATGAAGTCGGATGAATAATTTGTAATCACTGGTATTGTATTTGTCTTCCTTGAATAATTTAAAATGTAATACTTTTTTAAACCTAGTTATTGCATCAGCCTATCTTGAAGCAATTTATAGGTGATACCATGTTAATACCATTATTGAAAACATTTTTCATGACATAAGAACAGTTAATACAGTTGAAATACTTACTGCTCCGGTGGTAGCTTTTATTAAAGAAAGAAAAAAAGTATATAGGTGAAAGGTCTTAACTGTAGAAAACATGCTGTTGTGAGAAGGAATGAACCAAAAACTTGCTAAAGTCTGGTAAGACTGATGAAAAGATGGCAAGAGGAAGGCATAAATGCCTGGATGGTTTAAAAATATGGACTTGGGGTGCGGGGAGGGGGGGGGGGGGCAGGAACAATGACCTGATCCATAAATTCTGGTGATCATGTGAGATGGTGAAACATGGCAGCCTACGCTTATTGGCATGCTACATGATGATGCTGTCTGGGCTATGATAGTTCACTGTGACCAATATAAGAACTATACTTGTGGAGTTTTCAGAGTTTTTTTTTTAAGCCAATATCAATGAGAAACATACCAATGGAACTCTGAAATTATTTTGTAGCTGAGATTATGGGAAAAATGATGTAATTCAGGTGATCAAGCTAGTCACTACTTCCTAGAAAGTTGTTTCTTTCACAATATTGCCAATCTCAGTCCTGGAGGGATTAACTTTAAACACAGATATTTGTAGCTTTATTTAATTGTTTTTTAAAATTTATTTAACTTGTTTACATTTCTCACTCTCATCATTTTAAATGGCTTCTTACTTTTTTAATTTTGTAATATAGCCACTGATCTCCATATCTTCCCCTCCCCCTTTTCCAGTTACATATTTATTGATTTCATGTTGACCATGGTTGTTTAGAAGCTCTGCTGTCTTGTCCATTGAATATTCCAGTCATAGTTTGTATTGTATTTAGTATTCAGTTTATAAAGACTTTGGTCAGAACATTCGGTTTTATTTGTGTATTTTCCATTCCCTCTTTCTGAGTTTTCTAGTCAAATTGTATGTATTTAATGCTTCTTATGGGAAATATGCTGCTGGAGTTCGAGGAATTCTTCTGTAACTGAGATTATAGAAAGTGGCCTCACCTTTCTGCCTGGAATACCTTGCAGACCTCGAGGTCCTGGCTCTCCCGGTGAGCCCTGTGGAAAAATAAAAACATTTTCAGGGGAATTAACTGTAAGCATTTAATTTCCGTTTATTCCTGAATAAAACAGTTTACAAAAAAACATGGAGGACATTGTTGTGACAAACTATAAACAAAAGCAAAATGTATATACAAGTGTGTGTTTGTGTGGCTATATATATATATATATATATATATATATATATATATATATATATATATATATATATATATATATATATATATATATATATATATATATATATCTGAAGAAAATATATCAGTCAAAGCTAACATCTTCTAACATCAAAATACCAGAAGATCACAAACAGGGAACTAATAGTAGTAGCAGAGAGATAAGCATTGCTTCAGAGGTCCTGGGTAAGTAGCAATTTTTAAGTCATACAGGAGTGTTAGGAAAATAACAGGCAGACAGAATGGTTGGTTCTGCACCAATGAGTGGTACATTTTTGCAAGAAAATCTAGACATGATCACGGCAAGTAAACAATGAGCAGGCATAAATAGATCATCATAGTCTAGAGATAATTGTTCAGCTGCAAGTGACCAGGAGATCCGGCTGACTCTCTGCACTCTGAGGAAAGGCAAGATGGACATATAATCAATCTGCTACTGGTACCATAGGAACTGGAACTCTTTGCTGGCTGCTGAAGATGGGGACGGAACACTTATGGAAACGTCCTGAGTGCTTTCGTGTCAGTTCTTAGCTCAACATCAGCATCAAAGAGGGAACTATACAAATTAATTCTTAATCAAAAACAAGCCATGACACTTTTACACAGTGTGTAACAACAGCAGAAATGCAACAGAATTAACAGTTAATGGTGTTTTGACAGTACTTCAAATTAATTCAGTACTAGATTTTAATTCAGTAAATTATTTTATACTGATAACTTTTTCTTCTTCTTTGTATTCACTGACTATAAACTCTGGTGGAAAGTTCTGGTTGTTTATCCACTTCTGAACTTTGGCATTGTTCCAGGTTTTGCATGCATACCCGTTTTACAGATCTGGCTTTTTTTGTATCTAGACTGTTGGTTCTTTGCCTCTCGAGTAGCTGCACTGACTTCAGAGGAAACAGAGGAATTAGTCTACTTTTGTGACATGCTTGTTAGGAGAGCAATGGGCCTAACATCCCCCTCCCCCCCCCCATAAAAATGCAGCCTCAAAAGTACATATGTCAATATCATGTAGCAGGTCATTTGCAGAACGTTGCTCTCCTCAAAGTCTGCCTGAAAGAAACTCGGTCTGTTACCAGCTCTCCCGCCTCATATTCAAGGAGTCTGTCTTCATGTTGGTTTGCCCCTGCCCTTCCTTTCTGGTACCATGCAAAGTACATATGTAGGACCATTAAAAGAAACAAAGAAGAGACTTACTGGAGGTCCAGGTGGCCCTTGCAAACCAATGGGTCCCTGAGGGCCTGGTGGTCCCTGAAGAAAAAAAATGTTAATATTTTTAAAACAGACAACCTGGCAAGTGACCACACATAATTTTTATATTTTATCTATTGATCATGCACTGATTTATAAAGAACACAGTTGTGAACACAGTTTGTAATTATGAGATACCCGATTTGATTTCAGCGGTAGCTGATTTATAATAACTAATATATTTTCTATAGCACTAAAATGTACTAACAACTGCTAATTAATTATTTTGAATTTATTTGTGAAATAAAAAGAATCAGAGTTAATTTTGAAGACATACCTGCCCTCCGTATTCACCCTTTTGACCTCTCTCACCAGGTGGGCCAACGTCTCCCTGGATGCAGATAAAACAGTGTCAGTGGTATCACAAATAACAATACATAATTAGAAAATTTAACAAAAATCTTATTAGAATAAAAAATTTCAAACGTTGGTATGCAATATCCCCTTTAAGTGACAAAACTTTTCGCTATAAATTACCAGGAGATATTTGCCGTTGACAGTCTGCATGTGTATGTGCATGTGGTAAAAATAAAAAATAAACACACTGTTTGGCGCTGTCTTTATCTGTCAGCTTCTGTGGCTAAGAGGGTTGTAAACACAGTTTGTAATTATGAGATACCCGATTTGATTTCAGCGGTAGCTGATCTGGCAACAGATTACTGTTGTGTGCTGAACTCATTTCAGTATTCAAGTGTGTCAGAGGTCAGAGGTCAGAGGTATCATCACCCACACCAGTCGTCAAGGTGCTTGGTGATGAGGATGACAGAAGCAAGTGCAAAAGGTTCATACTACTTGAAGTTTGTCAGACACATATTTCTAGAGATTCATAGGTAACAGCAGCTTCCATGAGTATTGTGTGACCTGCCACTGAAGGTCAATCCATGTCAAAGTCATTGCCTCTGGGTCAGCGAGATAGAACGGGTCATATTGTCATGTCATGTGACAGTTTTAGTTGGGTTCTTTTATTCCATTGGAGATCTTAGACTGTTCAGTGGAATTTGGTACATTATTCTGCCTCTCGGTCAGCGAGATAGAGCGGGTCATATTGTCATGTCATGGGACAGTTTTAGTTGGGTTCTTTTATTCCATTGGAGATCTTAGACTGTTCAGTGTAATTTGGTACATTATTCTGCCTCTCGGTCAGCGAGATAGAGCGGGTCATATTGTCATGTCATGTGACAGTTTTAGTTGGGTTCTTTTATTCCATTGGAGATCTTAGACTGTTCAGTGGAATTTGGTACATTATTCTGAATGCTATCAATGATGGTGGTTATGAGATGGTGAGATCCAGATAGGTTATCTGACTACTGGTCAGCCTGGCTTATACAGCGATAATTGCTGTTGTAGGCTTCCTGTCTTCCACTATCCTGTCCCCATGTAGAACGCACATTTTTAGGGACCCTAATATAACCTAACGCTTGAGTGGGGTTTCTGGAACTTGTGCCCAGGTGATTCTCATCTGAAGGGAGTGACTTTGTGTCACAGGGTGTTGGTCACTCATTGTACAGTCCTTGTGGAGCTAGATCACATACATTCATATGCTTCCCATGACCCCAGGAGTGGGCTCATATACTACACTGAGCAGGATGCATAACCATATCAAGTATCTAACAACATAACAATATCAAGTATCTAACAACATAACCATATCAAGTATCTAACAATATAACCATATCAAGTATCTAACAACATAACAATATCAAGTATCTAACAATATAACCATATCAAGTATCTAACAACATAACAATATCAAGTATCTAACAATATAACCATATCAAGTATCTAACAACATAACCATATCAAGTATCTAACAACATAACCATATCAAGTATCTAACAACATAACCATATCAAGTATCTAACAATATAACCATATCAAGTATCTAACAACATAACCATATCAAGTATCTACCATATCAAGTATCTAACAACATAACAATATCAAGTATCTAACAACATAACCATATCAAGTATCTAACAACATAACAATATCAAGTATCTAACAACATAACAATATCAAGTATCTAACAACATAACCATATCAAGTATCTAACAACATAACCATATCAAGTATCTAACAACATAACCATATCAAGTATCTAACAACATAATCATATCAAGTATCTAACAACATAACCATATCAAGTATCTAACAACATAATCATATCAAGTATCTAGCAACATAACCATATCAAGTATCTAACAATATAACCATATCAAGTATCTAACAATATAACAATATCAAGTATCAACCATATCAAGTATCTAACAACATAACCATATCAAGTATCTACCATATCAAGTATCTAACAACATAACCATATCAAGTATCTACCATATCAAGTATCTAACAACATAACCATATCAAGTATCTACCATATCAAGTATCTAACAACATAACCATATCAAGTATCTAACAACATAACCATATCAAGTATCTACCATATCAAGTATCTAACAACATAACCATATCAAGTATCTAACAACATAACCATATCAAGTATCTAACAACATAACCATATCAAGTATCTAACAACATAACCATATCAAGTATCTAACAACATAACCATATCAAGTATCTAACAACATAACCATATCAAGTATCTAACAACATAACCATATCAAGTATCTAACAACATAACCATATCAAGTATCTAACAACATAACCATATCAAGTATCTAACAACATAACCATATCAAGTATCTAACAACATAACCATATCAAGTATCTAGCAACATAACCATATCAAGTATCTAACAACATAACCATATCAAGTATCTAACAATATAACCATATCAAGTATCTAACAATATAACAATATCAAGTATCTACCATATCAAGTATCTAACAACATAACCATATCAAGTATCTAACAACATAACCATATCAAGTATCTACCATATCAAGTATCTAACAACATAACCATATCAAGTATCTAACAACATAACCATATCAAGTATCTAACAACATAACAATATCAAGTATCTAACAACATAACAATATCAAGTATCTAACAACATAACCATATCAAGTATCTAACAACATAACCATATCAAGTATCTAGCAACATAACCATATCAAGTATCTAACAACATAACCATATCAAGTATCTAACAATATAACAATATCAAGTATCTAACAACATAACAATATCAAGTATCTAACAACATAACCATATCAAGTATCTAACAACATAACCATATCAAGTATCTAGCAACATAACCATATCAAGTATCTAACAACATAACCATATCAAGTATCTAACAACATAACCATATCAAGTATCTAACAACATAACCATATCAAGTATCTAACAATATAACAATATCAAGTATCTACCATATCAAGTATCTAACAATATAACAATATCAAGTATCTACCATATCAAGTATCTACCATATCAAGTATCTAACAATATAACAATATCAAGTATCTACCATATCAAGTATCTAACAACATAACCATATCAAGTATCTACCATATCAAGTATCTAACAACATAACAATATCAAGTATCTAACAACATAACCATATCAAGTATCTAACAATATAACAATATCAAGTATCTAACAACATAACAATATCAAGTATCTAACAACATAACAATATCAAGTATCTAACAACATAACCATATCAAGTATCTAACAACATAACCATATCAAGTATCTAGCAACATAACCATATCAAGTATCTAACAACATAACCATATCAAGTATCTAACAACATAACCATATCAAGTATCTAACAATATAACAATATCAAGTATCTACCATATCAAGTATCTAACAACATAACCATATCAAGTATCTAACAGTATAACAATATCAAGTATCTACCATATCAAGTATCTACCATATCAAGTATCTAACAATATAACAATATCAAGTATCTACCATATCAAGTATCTAACAACATAACCATATCAAGTATCTACCATATCAAGTATCTAACAATATAACAATATCAAGTATCTAACAACATAACAATATCAAGTATCTAACAATATAACAATATCAAGTATCTAACAATATAACAATATCAAGTATCTAACAACATAACCATATCAAGTATCTAACAATATAACAATATCAAGTATCTAACAACATAACAATATCAAGTATCTAACAACATAACCATATCAAGTATCTAACAACATAACCATATCAAGTATCTAGCAACATAACCATATCAAGTATCTAACAACATAACCATATCAAGTATCTAACAACATAACCATATCAAGTATCTAACAATATAACAATATCAAGTATCTACCATATCAAGTATCTAACAATATAACAATATCAAGTATCTACCATATCAAGTATCTACCATATCAAGTATCTAACAATATAACAATATCAAGTATCTACCATATCAAGTATCTAACAACATAACCATATCAAGTATCTACCATATCAAGTATCTAACAACATAACAATATCAAGTATCTAACAATATAACCATATCAAGTATCTAACAACATAACCATATCAAGTATCTAACAACATAACCATATCAAGTATCTAACAACATAATCATATCAAGTATCTAACAACATAACCATATCAAGTATCTAACAACATAACCATATCAAGTATCTAACAACATAACCATATCAAGTATCTAACAACATAACCATATCAAGTATCTAACAACATAACCATATCAAGTATCTAACAACATAACCATATCAAGTATCTAACAACATAACCATATCAAGTATCTAACAACATAATCATATCAAGTATCTAACAACATAACCATATCAAGTATCTAACAACATAACCATATCAAGTATCTAACAACATAACCATATCAAGTATCTAACAACATAACCATATCAAGTATCTACCATATCAAGTATCTAACAACATAACAATATCACGTATCTAACAATATAACCATATCAAGTATCTAACAACATAACAATATCAAGTATCTAACAACATAACCATATCAAGTATCTAACAACATAACCATATCAAGTATCTAACAACATAACCATATCAAGTATCTAGCAACATAACCATATCAAGTATCTAACAACATAACCATATCAAGTATCTAGCAACATAACCATATCAAGTATCTAACAACATAACCATATCAAGTATCTAACAACATAACAATATCAAGTATCTAACAACATAACCATATCAAGTATCTAACAACATAACCATATCAAGTATCTAGCAACATAACCATATCAAGTATCTAACAATATAACCATATCAAGTATCTAACAATATAACAATATCAAGTATCTACCATATCAAGTATCTAACAACATAACCATATCAAGTATCTACCATATCAAGTATCTAACAAC